AATGATCTTCCTATGATAGTGGGAGGAGATTTCAATTGTGTGTTATCCCAAGATGAGAAAAGAGGAGGTAAGAAGTTCTGCTTAACTCAAGGATTGAAGGATTTCAGTAATTTCATGATTGTTAATGATCTTCATGAACTGAGTTCGACAGCTATTGAGGTTTAAAATTAATGAACTCAATGTGACCTTGGCAAGACTCAACACATGGTGGAGACAAAGGGGCTAAAGCTAGATAGATGGATGAAGGTGATTGTAATTTGTCTTTCTTACATACTTTTGCCAATGCTAGAAGGAACACCAATTGGATTAGTCATATCAAGACTAAGGATGGTGTTATTTCGGAAGATGTTGATTTGATCCAAAAAACTTTCTCAGATTTTTTCAAGTTGAAATGGCAATAAAGAAAGTGCTCATTGGAGGGGTGGCCGAACTCTTCTAATGTCATTAGTAATGTTGACAAAACTTTGCTTGATGCTGAATTCACTAAAGAGGATCTTCAGATGGTTGTGGAAAATTCTGCTAGAAGCATCTCTCCAGGATTGGACGGGATTACTTTCTCTTTCTTTAAAGATTTTTGGGAAATTTTTAATGAGGATGTGTGTCTTGCAGTTAATCATTTTCTAATTTTTGGTGCAATGGATCGATCTTGGAAAGAGACCTTGACTGTTTTGATCCCAAAAATAAAAAGTCCTCTTGAGCCTACTCACTTCCGTCCTATCAGCTTGTGTATGTCCATCTATAAAATCATAGCAAAAATGTGTTGCAAACTATTTTTATGGCTTATGTTTTGATGATTGACAAACACTATCTCTCTTGGACTACTTGTTGCTTCTAACTTTTCAGGAATCGAAGATCGGACAATCAAGAGGAAGCCAAGTCCAGGATCGCATAAGTTTAGGGTTGAGTCAGTCTGTAATTTTATTTTTCATCTTTTGAGTCTACTTGTAATAATCAAAAAGACTGATGCTAAGTAACCCTTCACACACACACTTGAGAGGCTTAGAAACTCTGTTTTTGCCCACATCGGCCCGGCCAATATTTATATCGTCCGGGACGATCGGCTTAAAACAGATAGTCTAAATTAAGGATTCTTTTTTTCTTTTGGTTGTGGTTCTCTGCCAGCTTCAGGAGGAAGCAAAAGGAGGTAGGTTCTCTGCCTTGCCGGGGTGGCAAAAAGGAGTTTCTTGTAAGGGCTTCTCCGCCTAGCTGTGGGGGATAAAGGAGAGTCACGTTTGGTAGTGCAATACTTGGAGGGTGCCTCCAAGGAGTGGACGTAGGTCTAGTCGACCGAACCACTATAAATCTTGTGTTCTTATTTTTGCTTCCGCACTTTTAAATTCCGCATTTTTTTTTTGTGGTGTGATTTGGTTTGAGAATTTATTTCTTTGTCTTAAGAATTTTTTAAAATACCAATTCACCCCCCCCCCTCTTGGTTAGCTTGGGACTAAGTTCATAGGGCTTAACATCCCGAACGAACTTTCAAAATGTTGCTAAACAGACTAGAAAGAGTCATTCCTAAAATAATCACGGTGGACCAAGCAGATTTTATTAGAGGTTGTTCTTTATCGGATCATGTGCTGATTGCTCAAGAAATTTTTAACAAATTCAGATGGTTTAAATCTAGAAGAGGGATGTTAGCAATTAAGCTTGACATGGAGCAAGCTTATGATAGCATGGGATGGCAAACACTTAGGCAACTTCTCATTCATTTTAATTTTCCTAATAGATTTATGGAGCTTTTATTACAATGTGTGCTAGATCCCAAATATTGCATTTTGATTAATGGTAAGAAGACGAATTGGACAGAAGGGAAATGTGGATTTAGGCAAGGTTGCCCTTTATCTCCATTTTTATTCATATTGTGTTCTCAAATTTTGTCTGACGCTTTATTTTTAAGACGGAATGGAAGGGGAATTTCGATTTATGCTTCAGCTCCGAGAGTTTCCCACTTACTTTATGTGGATGACATATTAATTTTTGCGGAGGCAAGGATGAAAGTGGTGAAAGATTTGAAGAAAATTATTTCTAACTATTGTAGTTGGACGGGGCAAAAGGTTAACTCTTCTAAATCTATGATTCTTTTTGGAAAGAATACAAGGAGAAGAACCCAAGGTAAAATTGTTAATCTACTTAAATTCACTGTTGTTATGGAGATTAACTATCTTGGAATTAAAATGACTCTAAGAAGAATGGTGGCATCAGATTTTCAGCCTTTATTGGAAGCTGCAGCCAGTAGATTGAACACATGGGGTAAAAGGTGTATTCCTTTGGAGGGTAAACTGATTTTAGCTAAATCAGCTTTCCTTTCTCTTCCTCTATTTTTGTGTACTCTTTCGCTGGTTCCTTTGAGTATTCTTAGAGAATTTGACAAGATGTGTAGAGGGTTTCTATGGAGTAAAAATAATGGTATAGCCGGTCATCACTATGCTTCTTGGGATCTATTATGCAAACCAAAAATTGAGGGGGGTAGAGGATTATTCTCAGCTACCTTAATGGTTGGTCCATTACGTGCCAAGTTTGCTTGGAATTTCTTAATCAAGCCTAATTCTCTATTGAATCTCATTCTCAAAGCTAAATATGGTGGAGATATGTGGTCGGATACAGTGAAGCAATGCTGCTCTCCGACTTGGAAAATTATAACGATGGGTGCTTTTTTCCTTAAAAAAATTGTTAGATGGGAGGTATCCAACGGTAAATCTATCAACTGGCTGCAGGACACTTGGATTTTAGATAGAAGTCTTGCTTCTTGGCTGACATTTATCAACACTCAGGATAATTCTGAATTACTTCTTAAATCTTTTATTTCCAATTGCCATTGGGATACGGACAAATTGAAGATTGCTTTTGGTGAACATCTATTAAATCTTATACTTAAAATCCCTATCTGGACTGATAGAAATTCTGATTCTGTTGTTTTAAATGATAAATTCTCTGGGAAATCGATTATAGCATTGGCATATGAAGCTACTTTGAATCATAAGGAGGAGTTTGTTCACTGTAAGTGGTTTAAAAAATTAAAGTTGAAGCCGAAAATTGAACTTTTTTGGTGGAGACTTTGTTATGATGCTATTCCTTCTAACGCTTTTTTGGTCAAAAGAAAGTCAAGTAATTTTTCTGGGTGTCCTAGAGGATGTGGGGAAGAAGAAGACAATAATCACTTAGTTGGGAATTGCTCCAAAATCAGGAAAGTAATTGATTTACTGAATTGTTGGGGCTTTAACATCCCTATATTTCACTGCTTTGAAGACTATTTACACAGCCAACAAAATGACGTGCGGAAAAATCTGCTTTCGGGAAATATTTTTTGTAATACGGTTTTTTTGGTTTGGAAGAGCAGGTGCAAGTTTATTCATGTTAATTGTGAGGATTCAGAAAACTACATTGCTGCTAATGATATTTCTTTTGCCGTGAGAAGCAACTTTATTAATATCCAACCGGAAAACTAGGGTGCTAACCGGCTTTTGCTGAATTCTCCTTGGCATTCTCCTCCTCCCAGATGGATTAAAATAAATATAGATGCAGCTCTTAAAAGGAATCACTTGGCAGGTATAGGTGGCGTTGTCAGAGATGAAAAGGGGAGGTTTTTGATGGCTTTTGGCAACAATTCCTTGCATTGGGACATTTCACATTTGGAGTTAATGGCTGTTCTCGATCTGAAGAATGTGGTCAAATGTTGGATGTTGGAGGCTCAAGGAGTGATCATTGAAGGAGACAACTTAAATATCATCAAAATACTAAAAAAATCGGTCAAAGATTGGAAGGTTAGTAGAAAAATTGATGAGAATTTGGCTTTCTTACTTGAGTTTAAGCAAATTGTATTTTTCCCATTCTTTTAGGAATGGGAACAAATTAGCGGATATTTGTGCTAATTTGGCTCTTGTGAGATCTTTTTTATGGGAAGATCTTCATGATGTTATGATTCCTCCTTCTTTCTTATATTGCTTGAAGGAGGAATGTGATGCTTTAGGATTGGTTTGATTTGTAGTTCTTTGGTTTTTTAAATGTAAATTCAGCATTTCTTTCAAAAAAAATATAATTATTTTTGTAATTAGAGAAAATTGAGTTAATAGATTATTGATTTTGGAAAGATCATTTCAAAAAAAGGGGGTTTCAAAAGGAAATGTATAATGTGTACAAAAAATCAAAAGAATGTGCAATGGTTCGCAAAGAAAAGAGGAACAAAATTAGCTAAAATTAAAAAAGATGCATAAAGTGTGTCAAAAATATTTGAAAAGATGCGCAATATTGACAATTCAAGATGCTCTTTCCTTTACCTTTTAATCTTAAAATTCAAATAAATCTAATTTTTAATTATATTTTATAGTGAAAATTGAAATTATCTAATCTTTATTTCATCACTTTTGCAATAATTATCTTTATCTCATTGTCTATAATGCTTCATGACCTTAATCTATTTTTTTGTCTATGTTATATTTTAATTTAAATATTTTGAATCTTTATTTTTATCTAATGGACATTAATCCTATTATTGTAATTATAGTTCAATCTCTTCTTCTGTTTTTTTTTGAAGAAGTGCAAATTGCATTAAGAAGAAAAAAGAACTAATTACAAAAATCATAAGAATGACATTCCTCCTTGATTAAATTAGACATCAAGGAAGGAATATCATCAAAAGAAAAACTATCAAAGTAAAAACCACTTTCTAAAGCCAAAGTAGCACACAAGTTGGCTACCTTATTACAATTTCTATAAGCATGAAGAAAAACAACTTTATTGAAATCATTCAAAAAGAAGGAATCTCTTACCGAGTTGATGTCCATAAGCCCTTTATTTTGCTTTAAAGAATTTTGGATGTAAGTAATAACATTGATGTTATCACTCTCCACAATCACCCCTTTATATTCAACCATTCAGCTTCTAACATATTCCTTCACTGAGAGAATAGCTTCCAACTCAAGCTGAGTTATGTCCCAATGAACCATGTTCTTCCTAAATGCAAGGATGAATCTGCCTTTGTAATCCATGAATACACCACCAATTCAAGCATGGCCTGAACTAATTAAAGAAGCATCAACGTTAATTTTCATCCAGTCTTTCGGTGGAGGGCACCAAGTGTTTTGAGACTCCCTAAGGAGATTAGTGCCCCAGTTAGAAAGATAAGGACAGGTCTTGGTAATAGCCATGGAGAGAGCATTTGCTGCAACCACATAGCAAGGAAGTGCAGCTTTGCTGTGCTTAACATCATTTCTATTTTTCCAAGATAAGTAAATGATGGTGCAATAAATTTTCACTATGCCCAGATTACTTGTTGATATTCTCCTAAGTTCCTTTAAGTAATTGTCCAAGGAATGAAAGACAGGAATGGAGATACCCCATTCAATCACCTGCATAATGATTTCAATCAAATACTTGCATTGAACTATAATATGTTCATAGCTCCCCACCATTTGACAACCTCTAGCACAGGAATCAATCCCCGATATCTTATGGTTCCTAAGGAAGAGGTTCGTAGGAATAGAAGATTTCCCAAGTCTTTGCCAAAACATCTCCACCTTCTTGTTGAGCATGAGTTTATTTAGCCACTTACAGTAATCATCATCTCTTAAGTTGAACCTACATCTTATCACATGATCAAAAGACATGGCAAAAATAGTCTTTTTAGAACAAAATTTCTGCATTTCCAACCGATCTTCCCTGCTGGAATCAAACTGAATTTGATTTATCAACATAATAAGTTCTGGATGAAAAACCTCCTGAAGCAAGGGAAAATTCCAATGACCATACTCCAGAATAAGCTGCTGAACACAGGTTCCCTCCAAAGCAACACAATCAACAAAGGTTGGCCATTGTTTTAAACATCTGTCTAAAATCCAGAAATCATTCAATACATTTATCTCCTCACCATTGCCTACTTTCCATCTGGTAATATTTTTGAGGTGTCTTTCACCATCTAATATAATCTGCCAAGCCTTAGAAGTGATCTTATTATGAGTACCATTCATAAAATTCTTCCCATATTTGGCTTTCATTGTTATGTGAAAAAGGGTATCAGGCTTTTGTAAAAAATTCCATGCCAAATTTGATCTCAACGACCCAGCTTTCATCACAGGAGACTGCAAACCCAGCCCTCCCATACTTCTCGTCTTGCAAAGATCATCCCAAGCAACATAGTGAATACTATGGCTGCCATCTGGTTTATGCCAAATGAAATCTCTACAAAGCTTTTCCAATGTAACCAACACTCTCTTTGGGATCAAAGAATGTGTAACTAGAAAATTAGGCATAGAAAAAAGAGAACTAGTGATAAGAGTAATCTTACCACCCATGGAAAGAAACTTCTTACCCCAAGCATTAAGCCTATCCATAACACTGGTTAAAAGATCCTGAAGGTCATCAGCCTTCAACCTGTTAAGAGATATCTTTATCCCAAGATAATTCATTTCCTTGACTACTTTGAAGCCAAAAACTTTAGCAATCTTATTTCTCCTAGGATTGCTAACACCATGGCCGAATATAATATGAGATTTATTGACATTGATCCTCTGCCCTGTCCAATTGCAAAAGTCTTCAACAATACCCTTCACCTCCTTTGCTATTTCCTTGGAAACATGTGAGAAGATAAGCACATCATCAGCATACAAAAGGTGAGTGATCCTTGGTCCTCTAGGGGAGATTTGGATGCCAATATTTTGACCCCTTTGTTCTATGGAATTAGACATCAATTGAGAGCACATGATGTAAAGATAAGGGGATAGTGGACACCCTTGACGGAAACCACTATGAGCAATGATCCACTTGGAATTCTTCCCATTAATAATAATGGAAAATCTCACATCAACAATACATTCCATAATAAGGTTAGCATATATAGAAGGGAAGCCATACCATTTAAGAACATGATCAAGAGTTGGCCACCCCATGCTATCGTATGCTTGCTCCATATCCAACTTCAAAGCCATCAGCCCCTTTCTATTTTTGGAAACTTTGAACATGTGAAAAATCTCCTGAGCCAAAAGGCAATGTTCTGAAATCGATCTCCCTGGGATAAAAGCCATTTGCTCTTCAGTAATCAACTTGGGAATACAAGTCTTCAAACTGTTCACAAGCATTGTAGCTACAATCTTGTAATTAGTCAGACAAAGGCTTATAGGACAATAGTTGGATGGAAGCAAGGGATTTTTCACCTTATCAATCAGCACTATTAAAGTATCCTTCCAATCCTTTCTCATACAACCAGATGTAAAAAAGCTATTGATAGCATTCCATAAATCTTTCCACACAATATCCAAATAATACTTGTAGAAAGAAGAAGTGAGACCATCCATACCTGGAGATCGATTATTCCCTTGCTGGAAGACTGAATGCTGTAACTCCATCAACGAAAAATCAGTGCTAAGGGCCGTGATTTCCTCAGGAATCAGCTTCTGATGTGCCAAAGTTTCAGGCCAACCTGTTAATTCACAATTTCTAAATTTCCACTTTGCTTCAAAGTGTTGAATGAAGACCTTTTCAATCTCCTCATCTTCTACTTACACCACATTATGTGTATCTTTGATTTGATTCACTCTATTGCCATTCCTTCTAGCCGTAGTAAAATTGTGAAACATTTTTGAGTTAGTGTCACCTTCCTCATGCCATTTAGCTTTAGCCCTTTGGTTCCACCAAGTGGATAACCTTTTCAAGGTTACATTAAGATCATGGTTTTACTTCTAAGTAAAAGAAGATCATGAGCTGACCAATTAACTCCCATGGCTTCCTTATGCTGAAGCTCCATAATATCCTTTTTCAGCCTTTCCATTAACTCATTCAAGTCTTTACATTTGTTTTTACTCCAGAAAAATAGAGCTTTTAAAGTTCTATTAATCTTCCTTTGAAGAACCATACCTTTATCTCCAAAATCATTCTTCATCTAAGAATGATAAACAATGCTTTTAGCTGCAGGATAAGACCTCCAAGTATCCTCAAATCTAATGGTTCTCAATTTTATACGCACCTTGTCATCCAACTTGAAGGCAATAGGACTATGATTCGAAGCCACCCTTGCTAGATGTCTAATAGCAGTCGAAGGAAGCAATTGGAGAGTAGCTGAATTCAGAAGACACCTATCCAGCTTTTCCCATATCCTGGATGCTCCTTCCTTATTATTGCACCAAGTGAGCCTTGGTCTAATACTTCCCACATCATGAAAATCAAAATTAGTCATAAAACACTTCATATCTCTAGATCCTTTAGAAAAAAAGGAACCTTTTTCCACCTCTCTTCTCCTCTTTGCTTAACACACAATTGAAATCCCCACCAATGATAGAAGTAGAACTCTCCATACAGCTTCCCAACAAGCTCTAAAGACTCTCCCTCTCCTTGCAGCATCTACTACCATAAACAGTACCAATCCTCCACATCCCCAATTGAGGGATAGAGAGATCTCCGGTGATCATCTGAGAAGAAGTCTCTCTGACCACAAAATTCCCAACCTTCATATTCCAAGGCACTAAGATCCCACCTGAAAGGCCAACAGCAGGAAAATGAAAATACTCCCAATCCGTCACAATAAGGCCATCATTATCCTTCATACTAATACTTGTCATCTTAGTCTCCATTAGCCCAATGAAGAAAATATCATGATCTCTTACCGCTTCTTTCAAATATAGAGCAGACTCTTTCTTCCTAGCCCCTCTGCAATTCCAAAATAAAAGTGAAGACATTAAGCAAGTGTAGGGGAACTCACCCCAATTAAGGAAGTCATCCTTCCATCTCTTTTCTTCTTCTTATACTCAGGATCACACGTCCCCAAAGATTTCAACTCCTTAGCAAGTCTAACTCTAGCAGAACCACTAAGATAGGAATTAGCATAATTCACAGCATCAACATTCTGAACTTCCTTATCCTTGTCCAGCTGTTTAACAGACTCTTCAGGCTTCCCCAAATAGTCTACATCACTATCTTCATTCAAAACGGCAAATGAGTTGTTCAAACAAATATCTGGTCTACTATTTTCAGCAGCTGTTCCTTTATCTGGATTAATCTCTGGACACGAAACTAATTTCTCCATGTTATCAGCAATCTCCTTCCCACTTATAGTTTGCTCTTGCATAACATTCTCCTGATTCATACTTCCCCTGTTTATAGGCCGGTTCACATTTTTATAGATTTTACTTTTATTAACTGCTCCTCCTCTATATACACGTCTGTTCTTAAACTTGACATGTATCCAAGGCCCATATTCAGAATTATTCACATAAGGCTTGGCATCACCTTCAGCATTCTCCGCATTCCCTGTTACAACTTCAATTTTTTCCAGCATCTGATCTTTGATACCTAGAACCACCTTCTCAGGACATTCAATCACACCATGTCCCGCTCGACCACATTGATAGCAAAGCAAATTAATCTTCTCGTACTCCACCAGTTGGAAGAATCTACCAGCAAGACCATCAATCCAAACTCCATTAGGAAGTTTTTTCTCTAGGTCGATCTTAACACAGATGTGGGCGTATTCTCTTTTTCCCCACCTAAAAGTATTTCCATCAAGATACATAGGTGTGCCAAAACGAGAGGCAATTCTCACATGATTATCCTCGTCCCAGCAATACAGAGGCAAGCATGAGAGTCTGATCCAAACAAGAGCTGAAATCCCTTTAAACGAATACGGATCAAAGGCTGGAGACCACCTATCCATACGGACAATGTATCCATTTACATACCATGGCCCCCCATTCAAAACTTCTTCCACAGCCTCATTTGTCTTGAAGAAGCAGACAATCCAATTCATGCCAATTGAAGTCATATGGAATCCACCGAACTTATTCTATTGCCTTCTCAATTCAATGCTGCAGACAGAGAAAGGCACATTGCTTCCTAGGACTTTGATCACGACCGAATGTTTTAGCACATCTGAATTCTTAGCTTCCAAAACTGGATTGAGTTTAACCACAATTCTATCATCAGACTGTTCAATCTCTTTCAAGATCAATTATTAAAGGTTTTATGACTTCTTTCATTTCAAAATTCCCTTCTTCCTTTTTTTGTTGTTGTCAAAAGGGAGAGAAATATTATCTGTGTTTGATTATTTTTTGGTTATTTATTCTTTTATGTTTTGTCATTGTCATTTATGAAAAATTAAAAAAAATGATTTGTTTTTAAAGAAATTCCCTTATATTCACAGTTTATTCATTTAGGGGGAGTTAAGGAGAAATTTAAGGTATTTAATTTTATTCAAATAATAATTATTTTGGGATCATAAAAAAGGGGGATATTATTGAGTTAGTTGCTATTTAATTCTTGTTTAGTCATATTCTTGCAACTTGTATGCATTTGATGATTCTAAATATTATTACTTTGATTATTATTTCTCCTAATATATTTTGGTAGAATTGTATTGCTCTTGTGTGTACAAACATTTCAGGGAAATCATACTCTGAATTGTTGAAGACATAAAATCAAGATCAATTTAGAATTTATTGTAATTGACGTCTATATTTTTTATTTTTCTTGGGCCTGAGAGAGTGTGATTGTAATTGAGTACACACACATCGGGGGAGAGCTTAAATTCACCATTTTTAAACTATTTGTATTGTATGAATGAACTTTGTATGGAATGATTTGTTCAATTATTTTTCTAACGAGCAGTCAAACGAACATAACTAAAAATTTTACTATGGATCGTACTGTATGGACCCAGTTCATACATGCCTTCCAGAGTAAGAAATGGATGGGTCCCTTTTCGCACAAAAATATTTTTTTCTAAGTATGGATCGTACTATACGAACCCAATTTGTACATGTCTTCCAGAGTATGAAATGGACGGGTCCCTGTTTGCTCAAAAATATTTTTTTTAAGTATGGATCGTACTGTACGAACCCAATTCTTACATGCCTTTTGGAGTACACAATGGACGAGTCCCTGTTCGACCAAAAAATATTTATTCTAAGTATGGATCATACTATATGATCACCATTCGTACATGCCTTCCAGAATATGAAATTATGAGGTCCCTTTTCATCCCGATGAATATGAAACTTTTCTAACTATTCATACTAGATGAACTAGTTTTATACTGGATGATGATCATATATGAACTGATTCGTACTGTTTCACAACATGTTCGTACGCAATAATTTTTGAATTGTTCGTACGTACGAACTCCGATTGTACTGTACGATTGTGTATGTTCAAAATTAAAAATTTTAGTTTTCTGGATAATTTTTTGTGTCTTTAGTATAAAAGGTCCACTAAAACTGACATGAAAAGTCTTGTCTTCATGATTTTTAAAGGGCAATTGAAAGAGAGAGTGTGAGAGAGTGTTTGAGAGAGATTTCTTGCAAATAGAGTGTGAAGGGTTCACAAAGTTACTCAAAGTTAAGGATCTCTGTGTGATTTTTGTTCTCACTCTTCCTCTTATCTTTCTAGATTATTCGGGAGAAAATCTTTGAAGAAGATCCGGTTCTTTCCTAACACTTAGAGGGTGTGAAAGGATGACAGTTCTTTGTTAACACTTAGAGAGTGTGAAAGGATGACAGTTCTTTGTCGACACATGGAGGGCGTGTGAAAAGGATGACGGTTCTTTGCTGACACTTAGAGAGTGTGAAAGAATGATGGTTCTCTACCGGCACTTGGAGAGTGTAAAAGAATGAAGGTTCTCTGCTGACACTTAGAGAGTGTGAAAGGATGATGATTCTCTGCCAACACTTGGAGAGTGTGAAAGGACGACGGGTCTCTACCGCACCAGGAATTGGTGTAAGAGAGGTTTTATAAAGATTTCTCCACCTTGCTGTGGAGGCAGAAGGAGAGACACTTTGGTAAAAATATAATACCTGAAGATGGTGTCTTCAGGGAGTGGATGCAGGTCGTGTTTGACTGAACCACTATACATTTTTGTATCTTTTAAATTTCCACATTTATTTACTGTAAGTTTTTTTTGTGGTTGAAAAGTTATTTGAAACTTTAATTAACTTTCTTCGAGAATCAACAACTTTCAAATTTTAAATCCCAGAGAAATTTTTAAAATTACCAATTCACCCCCCTCTTGGTTAGCCTTGGGACATTAGTTTAGGTTTAACAACCTAATCAAGTTTCAACAACATTAACTTAATTCCTCTATAATTGGCACATACATGTGCATCACCTTTATTCTTAAAAATAGGAATTAACACACTCATTCTCCGCTCATCTGGCATCTTTTTAGTCTTCAAAACAATATTAAAGAGTTTATTAATCCAAGAAATTCCTTCATCTCCTAAGCATTTCCACTCCTCTATTAGAACATCATCAGGTCCAACAACTTTTTCACCCTTCATTTTCTTTAAAGCCTTTCTATCTTTGATTTTACTAATACGCTAATAAAAATAGAAATCTTTATTTTCATTTAGGGTGTTAAGATCACTACAGCCAATCATATTTTCACATTCTTCATTAAAAGGTTTAGCAAAATATCTCATCCACCTTTGTTGAGATTGAACTGATGCTCTGGATAATTGACAACTAAATGCTTGTCAACCATTAGATCAATGGGTAAATATTTGGGTTGGTTCTAATAACCTTGTATAAAAATGAGGTCAATAGTAACATTGTGATATGGAAAGCTGATCTTGATAAATTAATTATTAATAAATTCTTATATAGCAACCATGTGGATGTTTTTGCTTTGTTGTTCTCTGAAAAGACTAAGCTTAGAACTGACTTATTACAACCCTTCTTATACATCTCTCTGATGCACATTATTAGTATTAATATTATATATAATATTATTTTCTCATATGTTAGCATTATCCTTATTGACTTCTTACATGTATACAAAGAATACCATCACTCTGCTTAATTATACTTCCAACATATTAATAAGGGTTCGGTGAAGGAAAGTAATCTTCTAATTCAACCCATCCTCCACAATAAGCACTGGAACTTTCTTGTAGGTAGGTTTAAGGAAAAAGTTGGGAAATTTTATGATTCCTTTCCCAATCTACAACAGAAGAAAATTCTTCAAACAGGCATAAGTTAAAACATTATAGTATGTTTAATTCTTTTCTCGATGTGGCTAGTGAAGTAATTTTTGTTCTTTACTTTGTTCAAATAAAAAACATATATGAGGATAGGAAAGGGTCCTTTGATTCAAATATAACAAAATGAAAAACACAATCTGTTCATGGAGTTCCAAGCTAGACGAATAGTGTTGATTGCAGAATGTTCCTCTACAAATATATGGAAAAA